CTCCTACGCTACTTGGGTAAGTATATTTCACATTGATCAAAGGGGGTCCCCGTAAGGCAGAAAGCCTCCACTGAATTTCTTACTCTTTGATTTAAATTAAATTTAAATTTGAACAAGAGAATGACTCCTACGCTACTTGGGTAAGTATATTTCACATTGATCAAAGGGGGTCCCCGTAAGGCAGAAAGCCTCCACTGAATTTCTTACTCTTTGATTTAAATCAAATTTAAATTTGAACAAGAGAATGACTTTAACGCTACTTGGGTAAGAACAATTGAGAATGAGGCAGAAAGCCTCCACTGAATTTCTTACTCTTTGATTTAAATCAAATTTAAATTTGAACAAGAGAATGACTCCTACGCTCCCTTGGGTAAGTATATTTCACATTGATCAAAGGGTCCCCTGTAAGGCAGAAAGCCTCCACTGAATTTCTTACTCTTTGATTTAAATTAAATTTAAATTTGAACAAGAGAATGACTCCTACGCTACTTGGGTAAGTATATTTCACATTGATCAAAGGGGGTCCCCGTAAGGCAGAAAGCCTCCACTGAATTTCTTACTTTTTGATTTAAATCAAATTTAAATTTGAACAAGAGAATGACTCCTACGCTACTTGGGTAAGTATATTTCACATTGATCAAAGGGGGTCCCCGTAAGGCAGAAAGCCTCCCTGAATTTCCACTGAATTTCAAGAGAATGACTCCTACTAAGTATATTTTTGATTTAAATTGAAAATTAAATTTGATTTGAACAAGGGAATGACTCCTACGCTACTTGGGTAAGTATATTTCACATTGATCAAAGGGGGTCCCCGTAAGGCAGAAAGCCTCCACTGAATTTCTTACTCTTTGATTTAAATTAAATTTAAATTTGAACAAGAGAATGACTCCTACGCTACTTGGGTAAGTATATTTCACATTGATCAAAGGGGTCCCCGTAAGGCAGAAAGCCTCCACTGAATTTCTTACTCTTTGATTTAAATTAAATTTAAATTTGAACAAGAGAATGACTCCTACGCTACTTGGGTAAGTATATTTCACATTGATCAAAGTAAGGGGGAATTTCCCTTTGATTTAAATTAAATTTAAATTTGAACAAGAGAAACTCCTACTTGGGTAAGTATATTTCACATTGATGAATTTCTTACTCTTTGATTTAAATCAAATTTAAATTTGAACAAGAGAATGACTCCTACGCTACTTGGGTAAGTATATTTCACATTGATCAAAGGGGGTCCCCGTAAGGCAGAAAGCCTCCACTGAATTTCTTACTCTTTGATTTAAATCAAATTTAAATTTGAACAAGAGAATGACTCCTACGCTACTTGGGTAAGTATATTTCACATTGATCACTTGGGGGTCCCCGTAAGGCAGAAAGCCTCCACTGAATTTCTTACTCTTTGATTTAAATCAAATTTAAATTTGAACAAGGGAATGACTCCTACGCTACTTGGGTAAGTATATTTCACATTGATCAAAGGGGGTCCCCGTAAGGCAGAAAGCCTCCACTGAATTTCTTACTCTTTGATTTAAATCAAATTTAAATTTGAACAAGGGAATGACTCCTACGCTACTTGGGTAAGTATATTTCACATTGATCAAAGGGGGGTCCCCGTAAGGCAGAAAGCCTCCACTGAATTTCTTACTCTTTGATTTAAATCAAATTTAAATTTGAACAAGAGAATGACTCCTACGCTACTTGGGTAAGTATATTTCACATTGATCATTTGGGGTCCCCGTAAGGCAGAAAGCCTCCACTGAATTTCTTACTCTTTGATTTAAATCAAATTTAAATTTGAACAAGGAATGACTCCTACGCTACTTGGGTAAGTATATTTCACATTGATCAAAGGGGTCCCCGTAAAGGCAGAAAGCCTCCACTGAATTTCTTACTCTTTGATTTAAATCAAATTTAAATTTGAACAAGTGAATGACTCCTACGCTACTTGGGTAAGTATATTTCACATTGATCAAAGGGGGTCCCCGTAAGGCAGAAAGCCTCCACTGAATTTCTTACTCTTTGATTTAAATTAAATTTAAATTTGAACAAGGGAATGACTCCTACGCTACTTGGGTAAATATATTTCACATTGATCAAAGGGGGTCCCCGTAAGGCAGAAAGCCTCCACTGAATTTCTTATGACTCCTATGCAGAATATAGAAGAGTGATCGAAGATGGAGGGTCCCATCAGCAAAATTAAAATGACAAATTATGGACGACAAGTTGAATAAGAAATCTCCAGTCAGAGGTTAGTGCCTTACAATACATATTTGTTGCGACAATTCAAGTGTAATGAAATCAATAAACAATAATGAAATCTGCTCATCAAGTATTGCATTAAATACACATCAAATGCATTTCACTATTATCCACTATCAAAGGAGTCAGATCAAACTGTTTTTGAACGTACACACACACACAGACAGACACACACACAGACATTTTTCCCTTTGATTTAAATCAAATTTAAATTTGAACAAGGGAATGACTCCTATCCAAAATATAAAAGAAGAAAACCAGAAGATGGAGGTTACATCGGCAATATCATTGAGTATTACTGGAATGCATTCTTTTTCTCCACAAATTATAAAAGTGATTTAAAATCAATCATCATTTTCGTACAAAAGATATGCGACTCGCAGAAAGGCGTAGATAATTCGGCTAGTATATATATATATATATATATATATATATATATATATATATATATATATAGATATATATATATATATTGTCAGGAAGGAGACTTCCTGATGTTATCGGTCCAGAGTGGGGACGATTCCAGCGTGTGGCACCTTTGCGAAATGCCTAAAACCATACCACGGGTCGACCATAGTATTGTGAGTGAAAATGGATAGATGGAACACTTGTTGATCTTTCTAGATCACACGCTCTCTCCCAGAAACTGTAACTAAGGTCTGCTCAGCATAGTTGCAGTATACATCACAGGTTGCTCTGTGGGTGTTAAACAGACACAAATGTGCCTGAGTGAGAGTCTGCAATAGGGATTGGCTAGCCGGTTCATTAGACAGGTATCCCCGAATACGAGTGGCCAGTTATTATCATAAATATATATATATATATATATATATATATATATATATATATATATTAAGAAATGGACAAGGTCCGACAATTTATTTATTAAAGACATTTTTTATGTTTAACGTTGTTATTTATAGATACAAGTATTTAAGCAAATGCTCTGTTTATGATAAACAGTATTAAATAACATTTACCGGCCTGAATGTCGAGAATTTTTTCATAGAATGAATATTTTCTATGAAAATTTCCTGTCAAAGAACGAATATTTTCTATGAAAATTTCTCGGACATTCAGACCGGTAAATGTTATTTAATACTGTTTATCATAAACAGAGCATTTGCTTAAATACTTGTATCTATAAATAACGTTAAACATAAAAAATGTCTTTAATAAAATATATATATATATATATATATATATATATATATATATATATATATATATATATGTATGTGTGTGTGCTTGTATGAGTCTGTGTGTTTGTATGTGTGTGTAGAAGTTTACGTTAATTACGATCATTCAGTTTCAAATGCCAGGACAGTAAATCCTGATTTTCAAGATCGCTGAGTAGAACTCGCAATGTTCTCTTGTGTTCAACTTTTAATCTCTATACGTACATTTATATATTTGTGCAGATCATGTCCCATGTGATGTGTTCAACAGAATTGTATGCCGTGCTTTCTAGCCGTGGTTGACAACCAGTAAGAGAAAAAATGTTAGCAGAAAACCAGCTCACTGACCTTCACAGGAAAGCGTTTTTCAAATAATAACGAATAAGAATCTGTGGAGAGTTCTGATCGCCTCCATCATAAAGGTAAAAGAGTATTGCAAAATGCAGGGTGTATTTAGGCATTTTTATCAATATTTGGGCATCTTTTTTATCAATATTTGGGCATCATTTTATGACTATTTGGGCATCATTTTATGTATATATCGGCACCTTTTAATGTATATTTGGGAATCTTTTTTATGAATATTTGGGCATCTTTTTATGAGTATTTGGTCATCATTTTACGTATATTTGGGCATCTTTTATGGATATTTGGACATCTTTTTTATGAATATTTGGGCATCTTTTTATGAATATTTTGGCATCTTTTTATGACTATTTGGTCATCATTTTATGTATATATGGGCACCTTTTAATGTATATTTGGGCATCTTTTTATGTATATTTGGGCATCTTTTCATGATTATTTTGGCATCTTTTTATGAATATTTGGGCATCTTTTTTGTATATTTGGGCATCTTTTTATGTATATTTGGGCATCTTTTCATGATTATTTTGGCATCTTTTTATGAATATTTGGGCATCTTTTTTGTATATTTGGGCATCTTTTTATGTATATTTGGTCATTGTTTTTATGAATATTTGGGCATTTTTATGAATATTTGAACGAAGAAGATTTTTATATTTTTAAGTTAAATTTTGTTCGGTTTCGTTCATTTTTTTTTTTTTTTTTGGCGAGATGAACATCAATTTCTTGTCTTTATGAAAGACATTTTTCGTCTGTTGATTAGCTTCTGTCTATACCTGTGCATTGTATCTTCCATCTTTACATGTCGGCAGGTGTCATGTCGGTATTTTTATTAAGTATTGTATCTTCACGTGTCGGTTCGTGGTGCCTCTTTTTTTCTTTAGTCTTCAACCAAACCTACACACACACACACGCACACACATATATATATATAGATATGTGCGTGTGTGTGTGTATGTGTGCGTGCGTGTGGGTTTGTGAGTGTATGTGTGTGTGCATGTGTGTATGGTTGAATGCTGAAAAAGTTTATGTTTCCTTCAGAAAATTATACGCACAAAGGTAGCCACGCGTACATCGGTTAAAAAACTTACACAGCAGCAATATAAATTAGAACTGCTTTTGTGAAAATAGCGCCAAGTTTTAAGGTATATTGGACACACGATTGCACACATGCTCGTGGTGCCTTAGGAATCTAACGTCTTTGAAAGAGCGATAAAATTGTCCTCTTATAATTCGGTAATGCGATCATATTAATAAAAGAACGAAATCTGAGTTTAATGTTTGAGATCAAAGAGAAATAAGTGGGAATGCGGAGAAGAGAGGCCCCAAGGTGATTCTCGCAGGGTTCTCCCGGAAGAGAAGAAAGAAAGAAAGAAAGAAAGAAAGAAAGAGAGGCGTTAATATAATCAAGAATAGAAAGAGGACGAAGGACAGCCAAGCTGCGAGGCGGGGTGGAAGAGGAACAGAAAAGAGAAGGAAAAACAATGTCACTCAGACTGAGGGTGGGTCGTCGAGAGAAAATAAAAACGAGAAAAAAGAAAGGAAGTAAACAAGAAAGAAAATATATAAATAGAAAAAACATATCCAGAGAATGAAGGACACAAAGTCTATTCTTGATATCTCCCTATGTATGTATGTATGTATTTATTTATTTATTTATGTATGTATGTATGTATGTATGTATGTATGTATGTATCTTTCTATCTGTCTAAATCTGTTCATATTAATCTATATTTTAAGACATTTTTATGTTTATACATTCTTTTTATAGATACAAATATTTAAGTAAATGCTCTGTTTATAATAAACAATATTAACAACATTTACCTGCCTGAATGTCCGAGAAATTTTCATAGAAAACATTCGTCCTCCGACAGGAATCAAACCTGTATCCTATACATTCTTTTTATAGATAAACATGAAAATATCTTAAAATAATTGTCAGACTTTGTCCATTTCATAATGTGTGATGTCATTTGTTTACATTTGGATACGCATTGAGCAGATATGAATGTACGTGAGAGAATCATGGAAGATTGTAGTTTAAAGGCAGTAAAATCGACCTTGCTAACCGAACGACCCTCTGTGGCCCAATCGGTTAAGGCAGGTCAGGCTATATGACGGTTCCGTATAGGATACAGGTTCGATTCCTGTCGGAGGACGAATATATTCTATGAAAATTTCTCGGACAATCAGGCAATGTTGTCAATACTATTTATTATAAACAGAGCATTTAAATATTTGTATCTATGAAAAGAATGTATAAACATAAAACTGTCTTAAAATAATTGTCGGACTTTGCCCATTTCATAATTAATTTATATATCATAATCTGTTCATATCAATATATATCACTTTGTTCATATCTATCTATCTATACTCTTTATAATAGGTAATTTGAAATTGCATTCTATATCGGAGATATTGTTTATAGTAATTCAAAATGACTGTCAGTTACAGACCCCAAGAGATCTTCAGGCCATGTGTCACTACAACTTTTAGCAAGGAGAATGGCTACGTTTCCCAGTTCTTTTGCTCAGTTTTAGGATCTTCATAATGACGACGTTTGTTTAATTATTTCATATTTATTTAGGCTATTATATTTTGAATTAATCCCATAATGAATTTAATTTATTCATTGGTTTTGAATAAACTCTTCGTTTCTAAATATTGTTATTTAATGTAAAGATTATGATAATTTCTGTCTGAATTTCTGCGATGAGGAATTCTCATTATTTACGCGTATTATTTATTTTGCGCTCGTTAGAGCCACTTTAAAACTCGACCTTATGTGACACCTGGTTCCGACCTGGGCGCCCCGGTAGATACCATTTATCCTAACCTTTTTAGGGGATTGGTATTCGTTGAAGCTGTGCCCAAGCAGGTGAGAGCTTTCATCTCATTCAGTATCGCTTCCAAGAAAAAGGGATGAGTTTATTACCCACTGCCTGACACGTCCACAAAAAGTCAATAGCGGAGATGGAGGGGGTCTTAGGTATTTTTACATGGTGTGGCCATTAGACCCACCTTAATACTCGAACTTGTCCGTCACCCGGTTGCAACATAGGCGCCATGGTAGATACCACTAATCCTAACCTTGAAGATGAATACTGTTGTAGAATCTAAATATTATATCCTACTATTATGCTATTGGAGCAGGCGGACAAACACCACACACACACACACACACACACACACACACACACACATATACACAGACACACACACATATACACACACACACACACACACACACACATATATATATATATATATATATATATATATATATATTTAATTAATTCATCGAGTCTGATAGAAAACTCAACAGAATGCAGAAAGCACTGGACGGCCGTTTCGTCCTATATTTGGGACACATCAGCAGTATATATATATATATATATATATATATATATATATATATATATATATATATATATATATACCCAGTATAGACAGGAATCCGACAAAATAATAGGAAAATGAACAAGTAGGAAACAGATCTTAATCTAACATATTTCAGTTTTTTTATCTTGATCTTTTGTCAAAGCTTTAATAAAATGAAACATGAGCTAACAGCGTGGTAGGAGTCACAGTGAGCGAGCACGTAAACTCAATAAGAAGTCATACAGCGATACTTCAATACCAAAGACTGTATATATATATTTTGCTACTAACCCGTATTCCTGGAACTACTAACCTGCTTTACCAGTTTGTATTATTACGTCAATACATTATTTTCATATATTCATTCCTGGCGTTTGTTATTTATTGGTACCGGATTTCAACCCGGAATCCACAACAAAACATGTTAGATATATAGGAGATACACTTACATACATCCAAATACAAGGAAACAAGCATCTTATAAGCATACATATATCCACAAATATCATTCCTATATCCACATATACAAATATATATGCATAGTATATACATAAAATATTACTTAGATATACATAGTTACATACACATATATTATTACACTAATGACCTAATTATAGTTTACAACACATTAATGTCGTGCAATTTGCGTCATAAACAATGATTGTTGTTCATGCCAAAAAGATTTTTTTTATATGTTTATTTTTCGGCCTCCTTGATTTGGAAAACGCACCCCAATCTTCCAAAGTTTTTCTTGTCTCTTTCAGCGTAACAAGGCTAAAGTAATATTCATTTAGCAATAACAAAGTAGCCTACTTAATACATTAAATAATGGCTAATTTATCACCGGGGATAATAATCACTCTGGGAATTTAGGCAAACAATTTTTGTAGTGTTATCATTTACAGGAAGCAGACCTTCCTTATTCGGGTGATAAACGCTATAAAAACCATGTAAAGATATATATATATATATATATTAAGACATTTTTATGTTTATACATTCTTTTTATAGATAAAAATGTCTTAAAATAATTGTCGGACTTTGTCCATTTCATAATGTGTGACGTCATATATATATATATATATATATACGTGTGTGTGTGTGTGTGTGTGTGTGTGTGTGTGTGTGTGTGTGTGTGTGTGTGTTCTGATTCCTTGTAATGGGGCGGTATGCCTGTGTGTTTGTGTGTGTGTGTATATGTGTGTACGTGTACATAGGTGGTTACTGATTCCTCGCAGTGAGACAGTGTGTATGTATGGAGAGGGGATATACACATATATACACGCATGCTGACAAAAACACACGAAAATAGAAATAGATCTAAGAACACACAGGGGCCATTAAATGATAAGAATATCGATAACCACTCCATCATTTCTCGGACCAATCTTAATTGTTTTATAACCCTTCACGCAGAACTCTTCACTGCCAGTTCAAGAAAGACATTTAAGTCACTAACACAGAAAAAGAGAATGTCTCATCTCGAGAATATTTAACATCGAAAAAAATAAGGGAAAAAATTAATTATTTTTAATAATATGTGGAAATCTTCACCCTTTGCCTGATGACGATCGCGAGACCAGAAACGCGTGTAGCAAAATTATGGAAAATAAAGCATAATTTAAAAAAAAAAAATCCACATTACAACCAAAAACGTTTGCGCTTTCTTTCTTCTTTTCTCTTTTCTTTTAATATACACACTTTTCTCTCGTTGAAATTTCTATAACCTCTTCCTATATATATATATATATATATATATATATATATATATATATATATATATATATGTGTGTGTGTGTGTGTGTGTGTGTGTGTGTTAATTTAAACATTTAAAAAAAGAAGCACAAAATGAAAAAAGAAAAAGGAAAAAAGAAAGAAGAGAAAGGAAACAGGACAATGAAAATATAGACATTAAATTAACCCAACCCCGGTATAATCAGAGGGGGAGGCGGAAATGCCTCGCCTAAATAGATATGGTTAATTGGACTATATTTTAAAATTTTAACATCCCAAGTCAGGTTGAAAATGAATCCCAAAATTAAAGACGGCATAAAGACACCAGACATATTTTGTTATTTTTAAATCTTCTTAAATTTTAAATATTTTTAATTTACTTTTTTCTTTATTTAAAATATACATTTATGGTTATTATTTTTCTTATATGTTTTGCTAGGATAAATTTGTGATTTTTTTTTTTTAAGGAGAAAAAATATTTTTTCTTTGGTTTATAACCAATATTTATAATTTTCTTTTTGAATTTCTCAAATTGTTTGAACTCGATTCATTTTCAATATATATACCAATTATTATTTTTCAATTATATACCAACAGATTCTTACATATATATATATATATATATATATATATATATATATTGTCATCCACAGACAGACTGTTTTGCTGTATCACAGGTCATATCTGTGTCTAGATGTACGGTTGCTTCTAGCTAGGAAACCGGACTGAATTGGCGTCAGTCGGGGATTTTACCACTAAGCCGTTGGGATGAAGGTCAATTTAAGCGTATTTATTTTTAGATAAACACGAAGTGACTGAGTGAACACGATTCGATTTATCGAAGAATTTTGCATTATAAGCCGTAATAGTCACTGTTTACAAACCCACACTTCCTCCCCAGGGAGCCCAACTGAAATAAAATTTTCAGGAACATATATATTGTCATCCACAGATAGACTGTTTCTCTGTATCACAGCTCATCAGTGTGGCTAGTCGTCCGGTAATAAATACATACATACACACACACACACACACACACACACACACACATATATATATATATATATATATATATATATATATATATATATATATATATATATATACTCGACTCTCCAGTCGACTCGACGTATGAGGGTCAAGCAGATCAGTTCTTAGGAAACCGACAGCTGAACAGCAACACGAGATTTGATTATAATGGTGAAGGTTTCGTGCAGGACCATCCAAACTTTTTGAAAAAGTGCCGAATACAGAGACCTGGTGCACTACGTGCCACAAGGTACCCAAACGACCCTCCGAAGGTTTTGAATTCAGAGTCGTCCTTCTCCTAGACCAGTTGCTATCCAAGGCTATAGAACCCAGCCTGTCCTGCTATTTACCCATAGCTCGAGGGAGAAGAAGAGAATTCACACCTTTCCCAAGGGTATTAGCACGTAAGTGAATGTAATGGATTCGGCTGGA